TTTAGAAACTCATTAAAAAGCAAAGAAATTTTAAAACATAATTTTATTTCTGTAAACATGTATTTATATGTGTATTCAGTTTTATACAGACAGATATAGAAAGTCTGGTAGAGAACTTTCTTTTAGTATTTAGTCTATCAGTCATGATGTCTGTGCATCTCTCTAGAAACAATCTGCTTCTTTCTAACTGTTTACTACATGACACTTGAGTAAATGTACATCAAATACAGGGGAAGTATAAACTTTTCTCTTTGCTCGTCATTTTTGACAGAATGATCCAATTCTGCTTCTTATCACTTAAGGAGCTGCACCTGCATTCCTTCTCAAAAAATTCCTCTCATTTTATTGTCATAAGAGTTTTGATTAAACATAAATGACAAGAAAAGGTCATATCTTAGTTAAGGAAGGCAGAAATGTCCTGGAGGGGTGCCACACCTCTCCCAGCCAACTGATTTATGCACTTGAACAGCCTTGTCAAGCCCCAAAAGCTGTGGTGCTGATGTGGTTCTCCCCTGGACAGCTTGGGGCACCAGTAGCACAAAACATTGCAGATTTATGAATATATAGGGTTTGGGGGATGAATACAGGTCTGAGAAAGCTAATGAGACTAACAGGCAGCATGGATCAACATGCATTTTGGCACTGAGACCATATATCAGACTCTACTACTTGTATCACCACCAAACAATGGTTGCTTTTTATCTTGGCCCTAGTTTGGAAGGAAAAAAGCAGTAAAAGCCTAATATTCTATTTATAGTGTTCAACATACAGTAAAAATAGGTTCTAAATATCCACTGCTTATCTAAACTCTGTAAAGAAATCCCTAGACCACTGCAGAGCTACTGAGGATCAAGATTTTGCTCATAAAAATGCACTTGGAATCATCAAATCGTCAAGGTTGGAAGAGAGCTATAAGATCATCAAGTCTGACCACCAGCCCAGAATTGTAGCCCCTAAACCAGTAAACCACATCACTGAGCATACGATCCAGACACCTCCTAAACACCTCCAGGTGACTGCTGAAGCTGACTCCACCACCTCCCCAGGCAACTTATTCCAATGCTTGACCATCTAAACAGTGAAAATTTTTTTTCCATATCCAATCTGAATGTTAACTGCCTCAGCTTGACGCCAGTTCCTCTTGTCCTCCCACTGTAGGCACTGTAGAACCTCACTACAACCTCCTTTCAGGGAGTTTAACAATGATGAGGTTCCCCCCTGAGCCTCTCAAGAGTAAACAAAGCCAGCACCCTCAGCTGTTCTTCCTAAGACATGTTTCCTAGATCTTCCATAAGCCTCACTGCCGTTTGCTGGACATGCCCCAGCACCTCAATGTCCTTTTGAAAGTGAGGGACCCAGAACTGAAGCACCCAAGCTGCAGCCCCACCAGTGCTGAGTACAGGGGGTCAACCACTGTCCTGGTCCTTCTGGCCACACTACTGCTGATACAGGCCAGGATGGCACCTGGGCACACACCCTGGCTCATGTTCAGCTGCTGACAACCAGCACCTCCAAGTCCTTTTCTGCTGAACAGCTCTCAAGCCATTCTTCCCCCCGCCTGCAACACTGCATGGGGTTGCTGTAACCCAAGTGCAGGACCCAGAACTTTGCCTTACTGAACTTTCTGCAGCTGTCCTTGGCCAATTGATCAAGTTTATCCAAGTCTCTCTGCAGGCCCTTCCTACCCTCAAGCAGATGAACATGCCCACTCAGCTTAGTGTCATCTGCAAATTTACTGGGTGTGCACTTGATTCCCTCATCCAGATCATAAATAAAGACAGAACTTGTCCCAGTATCGAGTCCTGGGGAACACTCCTAGTAACTGGCTGCCAACTGAGCTCCATGCACCACAACTCTCTGGTTCCAGCCAGCCATTCTGGAGTCCACCAATCCAAGCTACGAGCTGCCAGTTTTTCCAGGAGGATGCTGTGGGAGAGGGTTTCAAATATTTAACCAAAGTCTAAATAGAACACAGCCTTTCCCTTGTCTACTAAGTTGGTAATGTTATCATAGAAGGAGATCAGGTTAGTCAAGCTGGACTTTACTTTCACAAGTCCACGTTGGCTGGGCTTGATACCCTGCTAGTCCTGAATGTGCCACGTAAAGGCACTTAGCTGCATTTTACATGGTTGTTGCACAATGCCTAGCACAGATTAGCTCTAAGATTCAAAAATCTTTAGATGTAGTATTATAAGGCTAAATACTCTACTGATCCAGACACTTGTTTAAAGTGTTTACTCAGGATTCAGATGCATGAAGAGATCACAAGCTCTAGGAAAATGTATCTTAATCATGGGGTGAATTCAGAATATAGAATCTAAAATTGTGTAGATCTTGGTAAATAGTAAAAGCCAAAATACAACAGCCTTCAAAAACAACCTCCAGTGACTGTCACGCATAGACCTCAATTACGGAAGTGGAAGTTTATCAAATAGCAAGAGAAAAATAGACAATTAAAAAACCAAATGCTTCCTCTCATAGTACATGTTCTCTAAAGCTTTCAGACAAACATACTCCTTTGATATGCTATTTCAGCGTCACTGTCAGAAAAAATACCCTCTACTTCATCCCATATTGTATCCAAACTTGATAGTTAAAGGACATCATTTGCCAGGAATGAATTAATGTATGTGGCAATTTAGTAATCCAATGGGGACTGGAAATCACAGAAAATGTATTCTCTTATTAAGTGATCAAATTAGGGGCTAAGGACAGCCCTTGAAATGGAAGAAAATTTGGGATTATTGGTTAAAAATCTCAAACAATATTGACTCCAGGGAAAGTGCCTTCCTAATGAAATCAACGGCTCACATAAAAGGAACTTACTGGGGAAAAAAATTGTTATTATTTATTTTGCTGAGATTGTTGTTTCCCAGAATAAAAACTTTTCTTTTTTGTTTGAAAACCTTAATAAAATTATTTTCAAGTATATGGTTTTATTTATTTTTACAAAGGTTTGATCTCTGTACTGAGGTTAGATGCTCATAAAAGTCATGTTCTTGAAGTGCAAGCCCAGCGGAAGCAATTGCCCTTTCATGAAGGCCACAGTAGTTTTAGACTGTAATTTAAATTGCTAAGTAGTTTTCTGTCAATTTTTAAAAAGTATAGGATAGCTTTTAAAGTTCTATATCTTAGTAACATTTACCTTATTACCCTTTACTGTGCTTCATCATTCTTTTTCTTTAAAGAGAAATCAGAAAGCTGGAGAGAAACATCCTTTATTAACTATTAGGATCCCGCTCTCCAGTGAAGTAATATGCCTTTTCAGTAGGATGCCAGTCCTTACCTTGGACTATAAGCTATTATGACTGGGTTTTACTAGCAGCACGGCAAGGACATCACCACCCAGCTCTAGCACAGCTCTAGCAGAAGTGGAGACACTTCTAAACAACTGACATGCAATAGTTCCATGGCTGATACTCCCAGACCCTGGGCTGAGTGAGCAGAAGGAAGCTGTGTGCACACAAGAGATCATTGCTTCATAGCTGAACCACAGCTGGAAGACTGCCCAGTGGCTGCAGAGGAAAGAGGAGGGCATGGGAGACGGGGCAGAGCTGTTCTGCAAAGCCAGCCATGTGCTGGCCCTTTAAAACTAGAAAACTGAAGCTGTAAGCATTTCTCGTGTTCAGTTCCAGTCTGTGCAATACTGGCCACAGGCTGAAGAGCTTACATAGGTTACTGGGAAAAGAAGTGTCTACCACTTGCTAGATCCTCCTTACACATCGTCACAGTAGGCTTCCACAGTTTGCTTCCTTCAGAAGAGGATTAAACAGAGAGAAGCAAAAGAGAAAGTCTGCAGAAGGGAGACAGACAAAAACAAAGACATCACTTACACTGGACATGGAAGCTGGAAAATGTTCCCTGTTCCGTCACTCTTATGCTCTATCACACATTTCATTACATACAGTCCTGGTCTTCCCTGCCACAGCCCCAGGTAATGACAACCCTAAGCTGGTTAGATCACTATGCTAGAATGAATATCTTTCTCCACAGATCTGCATCTTTTTCCATAGTATCCAAGCACCACTGGTTTTTCTTGCTTGGCTTCCAATCACTGAAAGTCACTGTTCTCCACCCCCACACGATGCCATACATCTAAACCACAAGATCCTTAATAGTAATTGAGAATTACCACACTGTCAGAAAATGCTCAGAAGCCCCCTGCACTGGCACACTCCAGCCTCTGAACAGAACTCTTCTCTGCCATGCAAATTCAATACTGTCAGAAAATTTGTAGGGAGGAAGTAGAGGAGGTAAACCCAAAATCACCTGAGGGAAAGTCCCCATCTTAGTCCTGGGAAGAAGTCATGCCAAAAGGCCTTTCTAAAGCCTCCACCATTTCATACAACACACAGTCTAAGAGAACTAAGAAACTACCACGCCCTCAATTTCCTCATAAGTGCTGTTACTTCAGTGTTGGTACCAAACAGAAAGGTCAGATCTCAGCAGGTGTATCACAAACAAGGTCAGATGCATTTCTTAACTTCTAAGAAACCAGTCATGTACACACACAAACACTGAAAAGGACACAGAAAACTAAATGGAAAAAGGGCAAAAGACTTCATTTCAAATTTTGCTTTCTACGAATTTGAAGAAAAAACAAACAAACAATAGATCACTTCACTGAAAATAGTTTTGTTCACAACTGCTTTGTCAATTGTTATTTTTCTTAGGCTCTGAAGAGTAGCTCCAGGAAACCAGGCCAGAGATAAACCAGGTGTACACAAAGATTGTGGAAATGTTTAATGCAAACTAAAACAAGGACCTGATACAATGTACTCAGTGTGACCTCACTTTTTTTAAATAAAAAACCTGTATTTTTAAAATTACAACAATTTCAGAGAGACTAAATGTACCTCTGCAATAACTACAATCATACAGTAGCATAACAATACACAGTAAGAAATAAAGAAACTCATTTGAATGAGATTAGAATTATTTCATAATATTAACCCATAGAAACATGCAGATGATGTTTTCTGTCAATAATCAGAACTTACCATATTGATTGGGTCAACTGGACCGATGCTGTTAACATAGACATCTGTTTCAATTACTGTAGTTCTCACTAAACAAAACAATAACCATAAAAATTACGTATTTAATTAACTCTGTACATTGTTGTTGCAATTTAACTTATTTAACTAAAAAAACAGCATAATTAAATTTCTGGTTTGTTCATTTTGTGAAGGATCATATATGACTTGGCTCCCTTATTGCATATGACTTTTTAGAATGATCAGCTTGAACTTTTTAGTTCATAATGCAATCTCCACCTGTGTTTTTTGATCAAATATAACATAGATAAAAAAAGTAATGGAAGGAAAAACAAATAAAACCAAACCAAACCAAACCTGACTTCCAACACAAAAATACAATCCTAAACAGAAAACAAGTTTGGAACATTTGTTTCATGCAACAAACCATGAGGTCTGGGACAAATGTGTTTATCAGCTGCAAGGGATCAATATGAAGTGTCTTCTATCAATTTCTACTGAGAATGTGTAACAGATATAAAGTAACTTTTCACCACAGGTTTCTTCAATTCATGAAGCTATAGCACACCTAGAGAATACTAATGTTCTTTCCTCGGCTTGATTAATACACTGGTTAAAACACCAAATTGAAAGCTCTTCAATGAAAGTAATTTAAAAGCTAAACATTAACAAACTTATTTTATTTAAAAACAGAGAAAACTATGAAAAACAGGGAAACTCACTGTGAAGACAAGAGACCAAAAACTTTAAAAAATATATTCCATTACAGATTATACTCTCTATTTTGTGCATTTATAGAAGGATGCAAAGTCGAACAGTGTCCATGAAAGGCACACCTGAAGTACAGAAGGCTCTGATAGTTCTTTTTTTTCTCCTAACTGGTTCATACAGCAAAAGAAAGAATACAAATGAAAGAGAGGATGCATTTTTATTTCATAATTTTACCAAGAATTTTCTTCTAGTTTGTGCTGGAGAACCAGAATGTGGGCACAAGAGGACTTATGTCCTTGTACCCAATGGAATGAAGAGGGATAATAATAATAGAGCTCTGCTGGTCCTTTTATGACATGCCACAATCAAAAAAACATCTCTTTCAATTTGCAGATATAAAAGTGGGAAGGTACAAACAAAAAGACTTTTTGATTTCATTGGAGAGGGACCCTAGGTGATCAGATTTAATTTTTTTAATACAGCAAAGCTTCAGAGATTGCCCAAGTGTTTAACAACAAACCTAAAATCTTGAGTAAGAAGATTTTTCAAATTTCTGAAAACTCAAACAGACATACAGAAAGAAAGACTGTAACATTGACATCCTTGCCAGCTACAATGACAGGAAGATGCAATTCCTAAATATCTCAAGATACCTTTGTCCTGCCAAGTTCACCTGGGACAAAATTATCCGTGATTCCAAATCTGGTTAACAGATTTATCTGACAGAAAGACACACTAGTGAGGCTGCACAAAGGATTTTCTGTATGACCATAGAGCACTGAGTCATTTGATCACCATCCTGTCCCCTGCATGCTTCACAGAAAGTTTCAACAAATTCTGGAAACCAATTTATTTCCTGGGGGAAAAATAAGTACTTCCTGCAATGATCCTTATGGATCTTTCCAACTCAAAATATTCTGTAATTCTGTTATTCTTTGATTCTGAGCTGCAAATGTTTCCAATTCCTGCAAAGCTCATAAAGGAAGGGAGACAGCACAAGAACTCATACACACAGACTAAAACATCAGAGTGAGAAAAAAGATTATAATGTGTGTATATTGTCATATGTGTAATGTGATCCTTTTAACATACATCACACTCTGCAAACAGATGTCCTCTTCCTTTAATTTGCAATCCTGCTTTTTATAACAGCAGCCCCACTGCTAGACCAGAACACAAGGAGATGGATCAAAGTTTATCTTGCCTTATTCCTCAAGTAATGTTGAATACTTCATTGTGAAGAATCTCTCACCTTGAAATACAGCTCACAGGATTCTTCCCCCTCCACCTCCTTTTTTTCCCCTCTCAAGTCCAGTTATACTGAAGGGTTACCTTAGTTCTTCTGTATGGTACAGAGAAATGTACTTCTGAATTAGAAAGATTAATTAATTAATACTTCTTGTGTTCTTGAACTAGAAGTGATAAGAGTTCATGAAAATGACAAATGCTGGAGGAAAATTCCTTCTTGATACTTTAAGAACAAATTGAGAAGATTTTCCTACCCTGACTGCTTCTTACTTTAATTTAAAACTTGGTATCAGCCCTGAAAACACTACAAGTAGGAAAAAGGCTATTTAACACATTCTGCATGAAGTGCAGAACAGCAGTGTTTTAAACAAGGGGAGAAAGGGCTTGAACACTTTAAATATTTACACTGAAAGACAGTCTGATGCAGGCTAGAGTAAAGCAAGAAGGTGAGAGGACACAGAGTGCATATTCAAGTGGGAGGGGGAGACAGAGAAAGAAGAGCACAAAGGAGCAGCTGACCACAAGGTCAGCTTCTAATGTAGCTGAAGCACACAGGGAACCTGTTTGGTAAGCCCAGTCTAGAGAGATATACTCACTTTCTGATTTCCTGCTTTGACTTTTTTTCACTAGACTAAACTTCTTCCAGTTCTAAAAATTTTGAAAATTGTTTATCCCTCATAAGACAAATCATAGTAATAAAAATCTACCTCAATCATTGACAAATTATTTTAGTAATTGCCCCTGACATTCGAAGTGCCTGTTTTTTAGCCTATATTTTTGTGGGCTCAGTTTTCAGCTTTTGATATTTGATATATCTCTTCTTTCTACACTTAAAAGCTCTTCTTATCAGCTATTCTCATTCTATAAATACCTATCCCCTGACAGAAATAATTATCATTATTGTAGAAGTCCAGAACATTGCACATTTTGTTTCTTAATACTGCTATTTTCATTCCTCCAATCCATTTCTTTAATACATTAATCAGGAGCATGGTAGTCCACTTAAATTCACCAACCACTCCCCATAGTTTACCACAATGCCCTCATTTTGTACTGAAGGTTTAAGTCACATCACCTTTGTTTTTAATTAGTACTTATTATGCTCTTTAACTAAGACCACTTTTGTAACTTCATCCAGGCTTATTTTCTTTGAGCATGTTCTCTATAACTCCTCATTACTTGCCTAAAGAAGCATCACCTATAGCGATAAAGCAGTTATTCAGCAAATAAATGAGGTGACTACCACATTTAGAAATAAGAGTCCTTCAACTTGTAACAGCTTTTAATGGAATAATACAATTCTCACAATCAGCTATCTAAGATTATTGCTTACATGGCTACTTATATTGAAAATTCAGCCTGAAGTGTCTACAGCAGTTTTCCAGGTCAGCCTCCGAAGAATTTTTTCAAAGTGATTTTGATGAAAGCAGAACCCTGTTCTCCAAACTTTTTACCCTTCTATTTAAAAGAAATCCATCTTTGGCAGATACTCCTAGCCCACCACTTTTTTTATTTCCATGATTAAATATCCAGTGCACACATCCAATACCTTCAACATTCCCTGAATATATGCTTCTACATCTTGCTCTTGTATTTTGATTTTCTTCAGTTCTTGGAAAATATTCTTAAATTCAAAATACATCTCTCTCTCTCTTTCCTTAGTATTTTTCTAGTTGTTTCACTACCTGGAATAAAACTCAAAACCTTTCCAAACAATATTAAAATGATAATGTAAAAGCAAGCCTTTAATGGCTTTAAAGCCATTAAAGCTTTAAAGCTTTAAAGCTTTCATGTTGGCACAATACGGTGACATGCACGTGTGATACAGTATTTCTACATTTTTTATAGAGTTATTTAACTAGTATATCTAACAAATATTGCCCAACTGGAAGAACAGTTTGCTAGGTAATTCCCTGGGGTTCTGCCCCATTGGAGCCTCCCCCCTACCCCATATATTTTAGCCCTCCACGTTGTTGTGTCTACAACGCATGGTGCAAAACAAAGTGTCCTTGCCAGACTAATAAACAGAATTTCAAGAATGTATTAGTAAGAGTTTCTTAAGCTATGGGAGAGGTCAGAAGTACTAGAAGTTAAAACTATGTATTCGTCCTCTGCAAACTTACAAATATATGAAAAATATATAAAAATCTAAAATTCCTTAGGCCTCAGTTTGAGCTTATTACTTTTCTGCCTATATTGTATTTTCATTGCTGCTACACTAAGAGCACCTGTTCAGCAGAATACTTTCTGATACCTTTTTTGAGAAATAGCACTTCTATTTGAAAGTCCTGTATTTTCCATGTATTCTTTATATCTCTTAGAACATGACTATTCACATTAGTGCACTTGAGAGATGTAATTATTTACCCACGCCCTGCTTATAGGGCAATAACAACTATCCAAATTTCCCTAGGTATCCAATTTTTCTACATCCGTGAGCAATTATCCTTAAATTCCCACCATTCTTAAAATTTTCATCAATGATTACTTGTCTTAAACTGAAGTTTACAACTAAAGTTGTAGATATGTGATGACTGTTATCTATCTTTAATTACATTTCCAGACAGAGCAGTTGTGTTTCACCCACACACATATCACTCCTGGAAAAAATGATCTATACATTGATAGGATAATATTAATATAACAGTGACCCTGAGATGAGAGAGCTGAAAAATGAGCAGCCAGAATTCTTTCCTTTGAAAAGGAAAGTTCAGAAATAATAGCTACTTTGATGCAGGAATAGAGCTAAAACAGTGTGGTTATAAAATCATGCAGCCAAAAGGTAATGTTCCAGTGAGAGTAATACTGCTATATCAGTATATCAACACTCCAAGGTTGTATCTCTAATTAAAAGTATTTATACCACAGATAGGAGATTTTATCTGATAACTGTATTACTTCATACTGAGTAGAAGAATGCTAGAACATTTATGCTCCACACACCTCAAGCCTACTACATAAATTGAGTTAAAGACTAGTAAGATTACTGAACATTGCAAAGGGTAGGAGTTAAGTAATTATTACAACCCAATCATGGATATGAGACAAACAGAAAATAACAGAGTGGTTTTCCCCTATAATATTTCAGTGTTGCCTCCAAAGTTTCAATTTTCATTTGGCTCTCCTTTAGCATCTCCCTCAACTAACTGCATGTTTAACAATTAAACTCTTATCTCACTCTGAGATGCTGAAATTCTGTGTCAGCACCAGGAAGAAAACAAAATCCTGCTCTGGGATTCAAATCCAAAAAGTCCAAGTTCAAAACAAAAAGTGTTGCTATTGTAAATGAGCTTTGTAATCCTATCATAAGAATGTTCTGTGGGATACTAATGGTTTGAAAGATAATGAAAATTGCAGTTCAATAACCCTGTTGTCCAAGAACTGCCATGCACTCTGAAGAAAGGAATCTGACACCAGATTTTATCTACATATTTGAACCAGACTAAGATGAATAAAATATAGCCTGATTTTGTTTTTCTGTCTGTCAGATATCTGCTGCAGCTCCCAAACAACTGGACATAATGCAGTGCCTTCACCTGAGGTCAGAAATTTAATCCTATGTTGTCCAAAATTTCTTCCTTGTGGCAGAATCATACTTAATATTTGCTCTCCTCAAAACCAAGTGAAAAGTGTTTTTTTTTCATTACTCTGGCTGATAATTCATGAACTTTATGTTCTAGTATAGTGGAAGGAGGTAGGCCCCAGATAGCAAAGGTCAGATTGGTACAGAACTTTTGAGAAGAGAAAGGGTACATTTATGTGAGGAAAGGTAGAACTAAGTGTCTTCTTTTGGGAACTGATATTTTGAATCCAAAAAGTTGTACATTGAGTTACTCTCAAAAAAATGACAGTTTTGTCCTATCAAGACTAAGAATATAAGCAGAAAAATAAAGGTAAGAATTACATCAAAATTCTTCCATGCCCATCTAAATGCATTTGACATGTCAGAATAAATTCCTCCTCTGTATTTTCCCCACTTACTTGTAAGTTTTATGGGGAGAGAAGCGAAAAAGAATTCTCTTTCCTGTCATCCCCACCTACAAGCTAATCATCAGAAGGAATCCTAGAAGAGACAATTTATTTCCTCATAATCACTTTTCTGTCTGTTGCATCTAACAGGGGGCAAAACCAACAGTAAGCTAGACATCTGTCACATGTTGAGAATTTAAGGAAAAACATGCTGGAGGACTTTTTGTGTTGTCCAAGTATTTTTAGTAATTCGGTTAAATGAACATGAAGAAAAGACAAACCAAACTTTGTGAGATTCACATGTGATTATACTATGACAGGGAGAAAATTATTGCTCTTTAGCATCTCCAAGATAACAGCCATCAATAAAACAGAGCTAAGAAGTTTGGGAAAGAAAACAATTTGTCAGAAGCTTTCAAAGGAAAATGCACAGTTTGAAATTGAGTCTTTTTCTTCCCCTACATAAATAAAAGAGGTCTAGATTGTTGTTTTGTTTAACATATAAGCAGCTTACAGACTTACATGGCGTTCCTTTGATAGGGAATACCAGGTACATCTTACTTATGTCCTCCACCTCTTCCTTCACATTTCAGGAAACAAACTCAGAGAAAACATATTTTCTTTATGTGATCCTGCATGCAAGTGGTAGACAGGAGCTGGCAAGTTTTCATGTACTACTTGTTTTCAAAACAAGATTCTTCCAAATATATACGCTTAGTAGTTATATGCAAATGAATGCTTTACCGTTGAAAGACAAAATTGCCTTCCTACTAGCTGCAAAGTTTGATCTATAGCAATGCAGTTTTACTTCCTATATTCCACTAGAAAAAATGGGTCCTAAGTTATATTTTTAGACTCCTGAATTTTTTTCCAAAATCTAAGCTAAGGGAAAAAGACAATTGAGTTGAGTTATATTTTCTCAGAACAGACACAATGCATTTCCTACAGTAAGAATAAAATGTCTAGGGATAATTCTTTAATGAAGTCCTACAGACTTAAGATCAATTTTTGAAATGACCATGGCTGGTTTATAGCTACAATTCTTTCTGACAAAAGATCTTTGTTAAACAAAGCAAATTATAATTGCCTTTTAGTGATTTATTACAGATTGCTCTCTGTCCCCCAAAACCAGTACTTTCCATAAGAAAAAAAAAAGATTATAAATAGGACATGAAGTCTAATCTTGCACAGAACATTTTTTTACTAGCTCTAGAAAATTACTCTATTTTGTAGCTTCTTTTAGCTTGCTATACTGAGTTTTAAATATTGCAATAAGCATAGTTCTGCCATCTTTGACAAAATGCACACCATCTCTAGTTCATATTTTCTATTACACTGAATAATTTTATGAACTTACCCCCAATATCTGGTCGAAGCTTATTGTCATATCCTTGAAGTAAGGAGTCCAGTATGTGAGTTACATCACCACCATGAATCTTTGGTGCAAGGACCCATGTTTTATTCACCATTAGATCTTCGTCATCCTCATCATCTGCTTTATCAGCTCTATGTTGTGTCATTAAAAAGAAACACAAACAAAAAAAATTGGGAAAAACACAAAACATGGTGAAACTGAATTACAAAGGAGCTGGAGAGGAAAGAGATAAAATATTGAACACTATTTAGAATAGTTTATAAAAACACAAATGCATTCTGGTGCCAAAAGAAAGAAGAAGGCCTTTATTTGCAATATATATATATTTACCTATATTTTTTTAATAGTGGTGGAGAGTGTGTCAATAGATGCATTTACACATCACCCATATAGAAAATCTCAAGCCATGAGTCAAACCCATAAAAGCAGCAGCAAGCATCATCTTATCATCAGCCTTTTCCAGTTTTGAAACAAACTTGTAATTCCAAAGCTTTTCCCTACAAGCATTTCTCTTTCAAGTGATGCTGCTATTATTTCTAAGAGATGTTTATTCTTCATAATAGCATACCTATTGTATGTTACTTAAAAGAGCATCAACAGAATCTCCTTCCTAGTAGCCTCTGTTTTATGCTGTAAAAAAAATAAGACTTTCCTACTTACTCAACTCCATTCACATTTAAGAAAGCAAACATTACATCCATGTGCTACAACTAAGCATTAGCATTAGCAGAAGCTGCAGACATATGTCAGTCATGCATCTGTATGTATACATGGTACAGTTAACTGAAAGGAATGGTACACCATTTTCAGACCATTGGTTAGCTACCTATTTTATCAAGATGAAACAATTGTACAAGGAAAATAATTACACATTCATTTATTACCTATCTTTTAATTAGTTAAGCAGTTAATAGATAGTTAATCCCTAGATCATTAAACAAAATTGCAATATCTGCATTGCATCCGCAAATTCACTTCCACCAAATGGTCAAAGAATGCCTGAAAGTAGTTTTCTTTCCATTTCAATCAAATGAGTATAGACTTCAGTATTCCTCCTGTGCTTAAAACTGCAATCTATATTACTCATCCAGTTTATTTCAAGGAACTGCTATGGGTCTGAGGTCAAGCAAAGTGCATGAGACTGATAGCAGTAACTAACAGTCACACAACCTACCTTCACAAACGGGCACTGGCTAGCAATTACTGAAAATATGAAGCCCCTATAAATCAGATCCAATGTTAACACAAGTACAATATTCCAGTAAAAGAAAGGAATTAAATTACTATTCTTGTGCCAATTCTCATTGTACACTGAAACTAAAAATGTTACTGCTTTATTAAGGGCTTCTAAATTACACAGACATATGCTGCCCTCAAAATTAAGAGTGGAAATTTTCAGCAAATTTACTACAGGAAAGAAGACCACCCATATGTTACACGTGAAGAAAGGACAGAAAAAGTCAGGGAGGACAGAGTAAGAGAAGGCATGACTGCCTCTTTTTTCAGTCCTTTGTGGGAATAGCTCAAACCAGTCGGTAATAGAAAGGCCTTGCACCACCTCTTGGATAACACTAGCAAGTCTCACTGAAAATCAAAACTGTCATGGCTGTGGAAACTCTCAGTGGTTTTGGCATGCCTGCTTAATTTGGGAAGTGTGACAGAAACCTTGCCACAGCTCAATAGGTTCCCAGAGGATGAACAAAAGGCACTGTTCGGATATCAGAGCTTTCATACCTAGCTTGCTGCAAACAGGTTGAAAGAGTCTATTATAGCAGAAAGTAATACACAGTCTAAATACAAGGCTCACTGACAGCTTCCCCTGTCAGCAACAGCCTGAAAAGCTCTTTCATTCTTTTAAATTGAAATGCACCATAAAATACTTAATCTTTACTGCACTACATAGACATTACAGAAATGTCAGTTATTAAATATTTAACATTTCCCATTAGCAGGATCCCACTAATGGGAGCACTAAAACTAGGAAGATAAGTTTTGTAAATGTACACTCTTTTTCCCTCAGAGCTACCTATTGCCATCTCTTTCATGTTTTGTTGCCACACAGCTTTGCATTTTTTTAATATATCTATTTATGGCCTGCTTGCACTTTTTGGCATCTAATTACTTTATAAATTAGCTTACAGTTGCTCAGAGTGCAGAGGCAATCCCAGCCTTTTCCCAGAGGCATTAAAATGGTGAGGAGTTAAAAGTTAATTTATAAGTAGCTCTCTAAGCAAAGAGACATAACCACCATAAAACTGACCTTCTTCTTTTTGTCTTCCATCCCTTAAACAGCAGAAAGTACAGTAAAATTAACAGAGTTCCTTACAAGCACAGGACACCTGATTATCTGGATCACCCCAGTTACTTGCAGAGAATTTGAAGTGATTGTGACACTATTTTGTTCTGCTTTTAATGTTTTTCTCCACAATACTATTAAGAACATCTAAGATTTGGCCAAAATGTAAAGTACAAGGGGTCATGCTATCACCACCTAAACCAAATAGGAGTTACAACTACAGCACCTCAACTCACAGTCTCTGAATATCTTGACATTTCAAAGAGTCCTTAATTTTATTTACAGATTCACAGGACAAATCCTGTTGGAAAGAGATCATGAGAAGTCTCTCTACTCCAGCCTCCTGCTCAAAGCAGGGCTTAATCTGAGGTCACAGCAGGTTGCTCATGTCTTGATCAGGTTGGGTATTGCAGACATCCAAAAATGGAAGCTGCACAACCTCTCTGAGCAACCTGATCTCCACTTGGGTCTTTCCTACTATTTACTGTATTTAAATAATCTTGAAATTAACAAGAAGAAAAGTGAAAAAAAAAAACCCCACACTCAAAATTTTCATTTTTATTTTTTTTACTTTCTCTCTTATTTTATTGGAGGACCTCTGCTCCTCCTCCAATTTTGAAACTCTGAACTACAAATAGGTATACAATGGCAGGATACAGAAAGCTATTAATGCAATTCCAGGGAGAGAGGCAAAAATTCCATCCCAACATCAGAGCAATTTTCCAGACACTAGTAAATAAATCCATTTAAGAAGTCAGTTTCATTAGAGACAACATTTCTTTACTTAGTGTCTGACAAGTCTTGGTTTAAAATGTGCATTTCTGACCATGTACACAGAACTATTTGATTTTAGCTAGGAAATACTGTACACTGACAAAAGTGCCAACTGCTAGAAAAGAAACACAATTGATTTCTATACTAGTACACAAGGCCAACAAGAACTTGTGACTCACTAACCCATTTGCTAAACTGGCAAACAAACCAACATGAATCAGGTAATAATGCAACCAAGTGCAGAAGACCTGAATTATCGCTGTTCTACACGGTGAAAACAGCTATTCTTACTCTATTCCTATCTTACTGGCCTTTTCAGAAGCGAAAACTTCTGAAAAGAAGTTTTTTGACTGAGATTAACCCATCTCACTGAATACCTGGTACCTGAATACCATCTTTTTAATTCTTCTTTAAAATGTGCCCAAGATGACCAAATGTGTAAAAAAGACTATAATATCTCTGAAATGCTGATGGCACCCAGTTCTACAGATTTGATTCCTAAGCCACAGCCACTGATGTGCAGCAACAAGACTGTGATAAGAAAGAATGATGCTGGATGGAAGAAGGAAGTGACCAGAATATATAGAAAGTCTTTTGTACTCTCCAGTGAAGCAGAGCACACCACCTGCCAACTTGAATTGTCAGTCCAGTTGGTTTGGGGGAAGTTGCACAAAGCTCTCTCAAAAGAGCACCTAGTCATGTGGAGGCAACAGGACAGGTACTGTATACATATTCACTTCCAGGAATCTGAATTATCAATATTTGTCATGCTAAACAGATTTGAATTCTTTTGATTTAGAGATAGAGATCCCTTGAGATGTACAAAGTCGGCAGAATCAGTTGAGATGGCGTTATCGTGATCTAATCCAGTTCACTAGACCATGCTCTATTAAGAAACACTCACTTTAGAAAACACTGTAATCTAACACTGTTAGATTAACAGTGAAAACTGTTAATCATTTATCATGTTTCTGTGTATCTCCAACATTTTCTTCATGGTTTGGAATGGGATAGAAGGAATGACAGAAGGCAGAAAACTTCATTCCAAACCAGAAAATAAAATGTTAAATTCAGGTATGTCATTCAATTATTTAGTGACTGTTACCTTGGGTTGAGGGCCTTTTTACTTCTTTGCCATTAAAATAAATCTAAGAAACCTATGAAGATTAATGTCAATTAACTCCACTCCCGCTTTAACGGTGGCACTTTCCCGTCTCCTTCACAACCCCAAGAAGAAAGGCAAACTTAATTAAAGAGGAATTCTTTTCCTTTCCAAGTTCATATAAAGGTTATTTCACTATATACAGAACATAATACTTGATCATCTCTCCATTTACTGTAAAATATATTTGTTCCAGCTAGGTTCACTCACTGTCTTTTTCAGAATGTCTGGAGAGATTATGATTTAGAACAAGAAGACATCATCAAACATTAAGACATTTCTGTTCCATTGCACAGTGCTACTTTATATCTATTAATGCAGGTGCTAATTCTGATCTTGATGATTTTATAAATAAGGAAGAAACCTCACTTCTTAAGATGCTTCTTGTATCACTTCAGCTACCCTCATAAACTCAACAGTAAACTGCATTTACACAGCTAACAGCAACTAGGTGAAATGTGCCCCCATTATGCTCTCTGTTCTTACACTAATTGAAGACGTCACCATGGCTAATAAATCTTTGGGCACAAGTGACTAAGAACTAAGAAAGTCTTTTTAACATCAGGCAACTTTAGATATTCACGTCATAGGTTTTTGTTCTCCTTTAAATATGAGAAAAATCAGTTAGGTGAGCTTTGTGTTGCAATTAACATCTGTCAAGTTATGCAATTAACTGGAAGAAAAATTAATATAGTGAAAGTGTTCTGACTGCTATTTGCATCATGCTTGTCAAAGTAATAACACACAGAAGTACAGGTATAGTGAGAATATCTAAACATAGCTAAGCATCAATTTAGCTGTCCATTCCCAGGCTCCTATTCCTATCCAACACACAAAAGGATATCCAGTTGATTTATGGGGAACCTGTGGACCTCTGGAAAAGCAGATACTTGTCAGGGAACCTGAGTTATCTGTGCT